GTCTACTTCGTCATTTTCGTTGTCTTCCTCTTCGTACTCTTCGACTCCCTGGTGTTTACTAGCAATGTGTCTCCCACTGATTGTCGCGTCCTCCTTATTTTTATTGGTAAGGGATCCTTCCTCGATGTTCTACAGGATGGGAGGGATTGGAAAGAGGGGACGCGTACACATATGCGTGTGTCAGTGCAGTTATGTGGATACGCTTTCTCATATGTACAGGGTTTATCACGTGTATACGCTTTCTCACGTTCAGCGAATGTCTCACCATCTTGGTCCGTTCGTGCAACTCCTTCTGCTTAATTATAAAGGCCCTAATTTTAGCTTTCTCTTCCATAATTTTCTTTTTTAAGTCATTATATAAATCACTGGACTCTTTAACCGACTCGCTTTTCTCTCTGATTGGTTTGTCCTCTATTATTTCATGGTCGGACGATAGGGACGAACAAGTTTCCTCCATGACTTCCTTGTTCGGCGCGAATATACAGGCCGCGTCACTGTGAAACGAGGATTTGGGGGAGAAAAAAATAAAGGTTCCACGGCAGTACAGATAAATGGGTAGGCAGGCGCACACAAATAGTATCGATTTACTACAAATATAGGAACAGCGGTTATGGACACTATCAAAAAAGATTATAAGTCGGTGTGGGGTGTTTTCCTCGTTTTTTTTTTTTTTTTTTCTGTCCCTTCTTCGGGGGCAGAACGAACTTAACTGCGCATCTGTACACGCAGGCGCGAACTTACTGATGGTCCACATCGTCCAGCATGGGAGGGATCTGGTTTAAGCTTTCGGCTAAATCATTTTTGTTGCAACTCGAGATGGCGTCTTCACCTTCCTCCTTTTTTACATTGTCACTTGGATCCTCCTTACCGCTGTATAGGGCATCATTACCCTCGCCCAGGATGCTCAGGTCACCCAAGTCGGCGCTTACCACGTCGTTTCCCTTCTCGTTGTCACTCACCAAATCTTTCAGTCGCTCTTTTATTGCCTCTCTTTTTCTTCTCCTTTCTTCCAAAAACTTATCTTCATTTTCTTCCTCCTTCAAAATTTTAAATTCATCCTCGCTGTCCGACACTGCAGGGAGAGGGGGAAAAGACAGATAGATATGTAATAAAAAATAGAGGTGCATTACCAGAGGGGGAGCCCATACACATAAATATGGGGGCTAGTGTAGACGGCATATAGGTGGACAAAATGAAGAACACTGTGTGGTACGACCCAAAATGGAGTAGGCATTACTCGATCCACCAGAGAAGTCCAAGCCGAGGTTGTTCGAATCAGAATTGCTACTAATGGAATGATGAGAACTAAATGAATTTAAATTTTCTTTTGAATTTTTCTTTTGGTGTTTTTTTAAATTTAGTTTACTTTTATCATTTTCGTAATATTTTTTTTTAAATGAACCATTATCGGGACCTTTCTCTGCAAAATTTAACTTATGGTGTTTTCTGATTCGCTTGGAATGCTTATCCTCATCAGATTCGTGGGAATTAGAGATCATTCTGCCCCTTTTGTCCTTCGCCATGTTTGAGTTTATGACAAATAAATAGGTGTGTACTTTTTCGATTTGCGCCAAGTGACCGTTATGTTGTCTATGTACAGCCCGTGCTCTTATAGCAGTGATAAAATGAGGCATCTGTTTATTGGTTTAATATGGTACAGATGTAGGTATGTATAAATATAAACATGTGTATTTTTTTTTTTTTTCAAAATTGTGGAGAAGTAAAGGATTATGTGTACATATGCGTGGGACAAACGTGGAGATATACGTTGGCAGGCAGTAGAGAGTAGCTCGGTGTTACTTTGTGTTGCTATGCTTGTGAGTTTGTTTGAGCCTTTTTAAGATTATATGCTCTTCCAAACGTTTGCTGCCTCCTCTTTGGCAAGTATGTTCAATCCTCCATGCGCCTGCGTATGCCTGCTGGTTTCTGCGCTCACCATCTGCAACTGACTGCGATTTGTGTATGCCCAATTGAATCTGTCTGCAGGGAATAGGAGCGAAAGCAAATAAAGAACAAGTGGAAAGAGTATAAGGAGCAAGAGACAGAAAAAAACGAAAAACAAGAAGCACAAAAAACAACTCGTTCGATATACCTGATGGGTCACACAGACTGTATGACTCCCTCTGCCTCGATCAGCTTATTCGTGTCATGCTTATATAAGAAAAGGGATCTTGACGCAAAACAAATGGGAAAGGAACTGTTTTTTTTTTCTCGATATTTTTATTTCTTCAGTGTGTGGTCATATGCAGTCGTACACGGGTGTGAGAAACGAAAACGTATGTTTGTACATGCATAGGCTCATGCTCGTGTATGAAGGGGTGAGGGATGCGCGAAGTTAAGGTTACTTGAGGCCACTCAATAGATTTCGTCCTGCTAACTAATCATTCTACTGACTCGTGACAGTTTCATGAACAATGACAAACGAGGAATATCTCACTTTTAAAAAAAAAAAAAATAAAAAGGGGGCGATTTGAGATGGAGGCAATATGGGGAAGCCACGTGACGGCGTCAGGTGGGTACTAAGAAGGCGTGCAAGAAGGCGCGATAAAACTTGTCGTGTCAGCGGTGTGTAGGCTGTGGACGACGGAGCTGTGGTTGCGAAAGGAGCGGATTACACACAGACACGTACAGTCCTAGAAGGGTACGTACACGCATATAAGTAAGCGCAACGTCCCGAAATAGGCATAAGCACGCAAGGCATGCGAGGGGTACCCCCTATGCTCGAAACGGACGAGATGAAAATTGGACGGCACACTCACAC